TTTCTGTTAGCAGCCAAGCACTTAACCATTGTGCCACCTCATCACTCTACAACCCTGATTAATCAGACACTGGACCATGACTTTTTCATGTTGTGTGAAACTAACTTGTAATTAGTCCAGTTAACTCTAATTAGAGGAATGATTCCTCCGGCTTATATAGAGTTTATACTTTTTGAAGCTCTTTCATGTACACTTTCTTATATGATCCTTACAACAATCCTCTGAGGTAGGTGGAGCAGGAATTATTATCCCTATGTGTTAATATTTTTATGTTTCACTTCCTGTAACTGATTATTCATTCTGACTCACAATATAGGTCTTTTTAAAGTTCTTATGGATCACTTAAGAATATAATGTACTGAAAAGATGACAGCAGAAAACCAGGGAAAGTCTAAGACCAGCGCAGAGTATTCTTTTTAGTAATCAAAGGACAAAAAAAAAAAAAAATCTAGTTGAAAGAAAAACAGGTTTTTCCAGATGACTTAGATCATTCTCTTAATGATTAACACAGACCTTTGTTAAATTTCTACTAAAAAATCCATGTACAATGTTTGTTTAATGACAAAAATGATTTTTAGCAAATTTTTCTCTACTTCAGAGGATTAATTTGATGGACAGAGATCTGGGGTCTTTTGTTTTGAACCTAAGTTCCTTTAAACATCAGTTACATGTTCATGAACGTACTCATGTGTTCCCCCTTTTATCCTCAACACAACTGTCAGTAATCTGGCAGAAGCAGAGCCTAATCTCTGCCAAACAAAATTCCAATATTAAATGAAAAATACATTTTTGATGCCTTAGCCAGAAATGCAAAGCCTATTATATAAGCTAATGGAATTAAAAAGAAAGCCCTCGTACCTAGTAATGGAATAAAGCTAAAGAAACACAACACATACACTTAAAAATAACTCTCAAAATACAAGTTTATGTAGCAAATGAATAGCTATAATTTTGTATGCAAAATACGTTTTTGGAATAGTAAAGTCTATTGGAACAAGAATTAGATTTTGAAGCAAGATCATTGTTTAAATACATATTACCTCAATTAATTATATACCTTAGCCTTTCTTTGCAAATTTCAAGTCTTCCGGGAAATTAAAAGGGGAAAATAACAAAGTTTGGTTTTTCTTGGGTTCTTATTATTGAGTCCTTATTTGTTTATAACCGGTATTATTCCATATTTATTCATAAAGTAACAAGGATAGGCCCGTGCAAAAGATTTCTTATGCTGTTATCATTAATTATAGTGCGTATAGGGTCTGGAAATCTCAAATTAAGTTAAACGGAATAAGATTTAAAAAAAGCAACAATAGCACTAAGCAGACCTAATTAATCTATAGAAAGCCAAATGGCTAGGCTGTGCAAGTAGCTGTTATAAGCTAGCCCCTGGGGGGAGGTGGGTAAGAAAACTACATCCATTGAGTGACTCTCATCCAGCCTCACCTTAAGATTTTTATTTTGATCTCAGTAGAGACCAAAATAGACCTATGAATGGGGATTTATACAACTCTGAAGGTCTTTAGAGGCCTAAGACCTCTACATGAATTTTTCCCGGTTCTTTTGTGCCGATTACTTTAAAAAAATTTCAGAACAACAACAAAAAAAATCAGAGCTGCTGATTATTATAAATGAGAGAGGTTGACCCCTTCCAACTCTGAAATTCAATGATTCTAGATTAACTGCTGCATTTCACTGAAGCTTCGGCTCTCGGCTCTCTCTAGAAGTGCAAGTCTGCTCTGTATAATCTCAGCTGGTTGCTATAGCACTAGCACTTGTGAGTGACTCTTCAAATACTTAACTCTTTCATCGCATGATCTGAGGCCAGTTTAATGGCAATGAGCAATGTGGAACTATTCTGAGCTCAGTAGTGAAAGGTTGAAGAATGATTATTACAAAGTTCAACGTGTACTGTGTGCAAGACTTGTTGAAGCAGGAGAATCATAAGGGACTTTTCATGATGTTGTGTTTTATGCCTCTGCATTTTGGTAGCTTGAGAAAATGCCGGACTGGATCAGCAGTGAGCTATAGGGAAAAATAAGAAAGGTGAGGGTGATAATCATTTGCAGAGAGCTACATCAAAAACCTTTGATTTAAAGGTTTCAGCCATTAATTTCTTTCTGGATTCAGGCCCAAAACCATATTCCAGTGTTTTCAAACTTTAGCCTGTATCAGAATCACCTAGAGGGCTTAAGAGTTTCTGATGCAGTAGGTCTTAGGTGGGGCCTGAGAATTTGCATTTCTAACAAGTTCCCAGGTGATGCTGATGCTGCTGGTACCGGGACCATACTTTTGAGAACCACTGGGTATGTATGCAACATGCAGTTAACTTTCAATAAACACCCCCGTTTTATTCTACAATCGATAAACTACCAAATCAAATACTGAGAATGTGGTTTAAAAGTGTAAAATGACAGTATCAGTTTTGGGGGATTTTATTCATCTTAATTGTCAAATAAGGAAAAAGGTGGATTAAAGCTGATTTTAATTCTTGTTTAGAGATGCCCATTAAAATTCAGCAATGTAGTGATGAGTTACAAATTCACATTTATGTGAAAGATTCTTATCTGTTAGATATATGAGGTAATTCCAGGCAAATGACAATGTCTATGATTTGCTTTACGATATGCCAGCAAAAAAAAAAAGTCCTAGATGAAACAAGATTAGTGAAATATTGGTAATTGTTGAAGCTGAGTGATGAGTACCATGGGGTTCATTATACTTTCCTTGCTACTCTTGTGTAAGTTTGAAAATTTCCATAATAGAAAGCTTTGAAAATTCACATCCTTTGTCAATATTAATTGAAAGTGTACTTGACCTGTAAGAAGAAATTTGGACTACATTTAAGACAAGGTTCTTATGGTACCTCTCAGATAACAGCATTAATAACATTGTCAAGAATTAGATAATCAGACACGTAGACTAGGCCTGAAATACAACCCTTAATTTACGAACCTCCACTGTGGGTAGGAAGGAGCCCTGGTAGCACAGTGGTTAAGAACTTAGCTGCTAACTGAATGGTCAGCAGTTCAAACCCACCAGCCACTCCGCGGGAGAAAGATATGGCAGTCTGCTTCAGTAAGGATTAAACTGAAAACCTAACCCACTGCCATCGAGTCAAAGGCTCCTCAGTAAAGATTACAGCCTTGGAAACCCTACGGGGCAGTTCTGCTCTGCCTTATAGGGTCACTATAAGTCAGAATCCACTCGAGGGCAATGGGTATTGTGGGTGAGAAGGGGTAGGGGGAATAACCACTTGAAACACGTACCTCTAAATTTCTTTCTTTATTCCCCCACTCTTTATCCCATCAGACTGCTTGCAGCTCCTGTGACTCTCTGGACAGCTGCCTCTACAGACTCACAAACATTCTTCCTTGCTGTCTGCGTCAAAGGGGTAGTGGTGTTTTAGGTTCTTTGCCATTCTTTTGTTCAAGCTTTCTTGTAGAGACTATACTATCGCTTGGGACAACGAGGCCAGTGTTTGTGAGGAGGGGAGGTGTTACTATTGTTCATATTTTTATACATGTTTAAAATTGACTTTTCATGCACTTACAGAATCCCACAAATTAACGTGGATACCAATGTCTTTTTTTTTTTTTTAAACATGACCTGACCTGATGTGTGCCTTATGCCTGGCCCCGTGACAGAAGATATATTTGGGAGCGGTTACATTTTAGTATTTTCAGAGGCCTATTTTACTTTTTCTGAGAAAGTCAAACAAATACAAAGTCATATCATTTTAAAGAATAGTACTTTATTGAATAAGTTTTATTCAGAGAAAAATAAACTTTAATCTACAATGACTGGCAGATTATATGGTGGAAAGCAATTTTCTTAGTTTTCCATACTGATGGAAAGGTTCCTACTAAATGAAAAGAAAAAAAAGCCATAAAATTATATTCACAAATATAGTACTCTATCTCAAAACATTTCACATGATTATTCACAACACTAACACAACAACGTAAGAATCAGTCATTCCGCCAGGTTAGATAGAGTATACCAGTAATGAAACAAAAATGCAAAATCTTCTAACAGAAACTACATTAAAGCTTTGTTACATCAAATCAAAAACGCAAATTTGTTACTAAGTACAGATAAAATATACTTATATAGTAATTTTAAATTTTCATCAATGATACATAAGAATGTAGTAAATGCCAAAAAATCTATATGCATATCTCAAAACTTAAAGACTTCAAAATAGACTCTCACCACTCAAACATTAATGTAGTACTGTACAACTGAAGGTGTATGTATTTAAGATTGTCCTATTGTATTAGTTATAAAGTGTCATTTAATATGTAGTGAAAGTTATGGTATAGTGGAAAGAAGAGTTAAAAAAAAAAATATATGAGACCTCCCAGGAGAGGTCGTTTGGTGAAGCTTCACCTTCAATCTATGTCCTAGTCCTGGTCCCGCCACTAACTAAGCTATACAGTTTTTAGTCTTAGTTGCTGACCTGTAAAATGAGGGAGATGAATTAGATACTTTTTAAGGTCACTTCTAGTCCTGACACTCTATGATTCTAATACGTTGCGAATGAAATTCACATTATGCTAAGTATACAAGAGTCAAACCAAAACTGATTATTAAGGTGGGAATAAACCAATTGTTTTTATTAGAAAGGCTCAAGTAATTTGATAAGAATAATTTTTTCAAGTTTTTAAAAAAGAAAGTTAAATATTTTCAGGGACTTTGCCTACTTATATACTGTAATTTACGTATTCAGTATGAAAAACACAAAAAAAAGATGACTAAGAGTCACTGAAAGAATTATCATGTAAGAATTTCTTCTAACTTTTAGCTCAAGTAATTATGTAAGAATTTCTTCTAAGTTTCAGCCCAAATTTCCAGGTCCTGGCAAACCCATGGAGGGTCAGAGTACTAGGAAGGGAATTACATTTATAACATGTATAGGTGCTTTACATACATGGTCTTCCTGAACTCTCATAACATTGTGAGATAGGTAGTATTCTCTTCATTTCACAGATGAAGAAGTGGCTACCTCTTTTTTTTTTAAGCAGATCCGACTAAAAAGAAACTACATTGGTCAAACATTCCTTCCCATTTTCTTATTTCCCTAATGGAAATTATACCACCTATTCCACTTCTCCCACCCCTTCCACTCCTTTGCCCAATTCAACACCTGGGTAATCAGGAAATAATACAGTGATTTGGGTCTAAAGCGTACAATATATGCAACTAATGCTGTGGTGGTAGTCTCCATTCAGAGAGTTCAAAATACAAAAGGAAAAAGGAAAAAACAACTATCAAAGTTTAAATCACATAACAACAAAAGATCATAATATACAGGGCCAAATCACATTATATACACCTACCCTACCCCACTTCAGCCACTAACCAAAGGTGGGGAGGTGGACACAAATCTAGCAGAAAAATCAACACAGTGTCATTAAATAAACTGGAATTTATAAACATTAAATCCGTTTCTCAAAAATTAAGACAAGGCTTTTGATCAGCACTCTAAATTATTACAAATAAAGACAACTATTCATTACAAACAAACTGAATCTTCACTAGACTGAGATATAGTAAAATAGATGGTGACTTTAAAATCCTAGAGTGAACTTTATACAGAAAATGGAATGTCGACACATAGATACCGAGAACTAATTTTTTTAGGGGGAGAGAGTTGGAACTGCTTATATTTTTGACCTTGCAAAAGATCAATTTTACACAATTAGATGGGAAGGATCCAGTGCTTTTAATAGTACAAACATAGACAAAGACGGGTAAGCCTCAAAAATCTGATTAGAAGCTAGAGGGGTGCTGAGTGTTAAGAACCTAAAGCAACAGCATCTTCTAAACAATTCTTAAAATAAACTTGTTAGCCACATCAGCTGCATGCATTAAATTTCACAACTCATGGGGGGGAAAAAGGTCTTGCTTAACTCTAAACATACAAGTTTTTAAAAGAAGAGTTTTAATGAACTGAGGCTCTCAGAACAGGAAAAGCCTTATGCTCAAACAATTCAGTCCTTGGCTAGCAACTAGACTGAACTAACTACTTGACTTGGAGCTGAAGTGTCTTGAAAAACACACTTATAAATGTGAACACTTTTCTCCCCTTGTAGAAAGCTTTAAATTTGAACTTAAAGCTTAGACTGTATGTGACAAATTTAACTCTAATATATAACTAGACCTTGGTGGAAGACAGTGCAGAGGTAAAGAACTGAGGATTTACATGGTAAAATAAAAACAGGGCAGTCATTATTTAATTTAAACAAAATTCTCATTTAAATTTTGCAATGCTTTAAATGAATATCACATGAAAGTAGTAATCAACAGTTTAGGAGAACATGACAATACTCTTTCTCTTAGAAAATACAATGAAAATATAATTTTTAACAGTTTCACTCAAACTTTTCTCTGCAGTAAAATGCCTCACTTCATCTCGACAACAAACAGGTCATTGTGAGAATCTTGTAATATAAACCCTGGGTGGTCTATGAAGCATTTTTCAACTTGCATACGAACTCTTACTCAAGTGTTTTTTTTTTTTTAATATTTAAACAACTATTCTTCTCTTTTTGTCAGTACTTTATAATTTTCAAGATGTTTTAAGGATCTTGAGAGAATATTTATTTCAGAAGTATCTACTACTATTACTAGTCAAGAAAACAAACAAAAAACTTTAGGTAGAGGAAAGACAACATTTGTCCTATATACACTTTAAACAATCATCTTAACGGTAAAAATTCACATGAAACTTTAAGATACAAGACGATATGAGAATCTCAACATGGAAAGCTGTCACTATAACTATGAGCAGTGTACAAACATGCATCTACTTTTACCTACATAAGCTGACAGATGTTTAAAATACTGGGTTAACAAAGATCTTTTAGTAAAGTGACTTAGGCAGGCTTAAACTAGCAAGGATTAAGGATGAATCCTTACTAATTAATTGGAAGATCTGAGACATATTTTATATTTCATTTTACAAAATCAGAAATATTTTGAAACAAGAGAAGAAGACATGGTCTACCTGTCAGAAAACTACCACTCAGAAATATTTTTCATCCACAAAGCAGGAAACACATAACAACATTTAAATTTCACATTGGCACCAAAAAGGTTAACTGCCCTGCCTTCTCGGATTAGAAAAATTAAAGCTGAGCGCTAAGTAGTTTTGCAGGTGTTTGAACATGCCTAAGCCTTTAAATCAGTAAAATAATTTCTAAAAATTCTGATTACAAAATACATACTTATAAAAAATTCAAACAGAACAAAATGAAAAAAGGAGAAAGGGAAAGGCCCCTGTAAACCCCATCCGGGACCCTCCTCCCAGCCCCCTCAAGAGAAAGGACATTTAAAAGTTTGGTGCGTATCTTTCCAAACCTTGTGTTCTACACATATACAAAACATAGACACCTTAATTTGGCTCATACTAGACATAGTGATTTGCCACTTGCATTTTACACTTAATGTATCTTTGACATCTTTCCATGTCAGTACATGTAGGCTAGATGGTATTCTATCATTAAAATATTTTTAAAAATGACAAAATCACCTTTTTACATCATTCACACAAATACATGTGTATAATTTTAAAACAAAATGAACATAACCCTAAGACAAAGACAAAAATCTAAAAGTAATCTCTATCTTTCTGCCAGTGTGGAATGGTTCATTCCTTCTTCACACAAAACAAATTATGTGATTGGGGAGATTAAGCCTAATCTCCCCAATCACACAGAACGCTCCCTTTGCTAAGCCTATCTGAAAAGAATGAAAACTTCAGTTGATTAATTCACTTACACTTACAAACCAAGTCAGTGTACTACAAATACATGTTGTGATCATATATGATGCTTCTTAGCCTAGGGTTTCAATTGAGTAACAGTTTAAAAAAAAAGGATAAATAATATAGACAATTTCCTGAAAACTCCAAAAACTTAAATTTTAGATTGCCAACTAAAACATTACAGTTTATGTTTTCTACTTGGGTAGCAAATGTTAATGGAATTCAATGGTGATTACTTAAAGTCGGTTCACATCATGCATTCAAACAGAGTAATAGGAACATAACATGCCTACTGTGGAGTTAGATTAAGACATAAAAATTTTTTGCTTGAAAGTAATGACTGTGTAGCACATGGGACATCTGTCAACTGCTTCAGCACATTGTTTACAAGTGACCAGATGTCCACATGGAATAAAAACTACAGCAATATTTCTATCCATACAGATTTTGCAAAGCTTCTCCTCTTGCAGGAGTCTTAGCTGCTCTTCAGTACTTATCTCTGTAGAAAGAGAAAAGTGTGAATTTTAGACTTTCTTAGCTGTTTAAATTCAATCAAACATTTACTGAACCCCTACTATGTACCAGGCACTAAGCTATGCTGGGAGATATCAGGATGACTCACACATGCTGTCTGCTGTTACGCAGCGCTCACACCAGTGGGAGAGAGGGAGGTAAGATGAGACTACAAGGTAAGTACAAAGTACAAACTGATAAGTGAAATAATAAAGTTGTGTACAAAAGTGCTCTGGGACAAGATGAGAGAACATGTTCTTCAGGGGTTGGCAGTGGAGGGTGGGGTGGGCAGTAACATTTAAGCACGAACAGCAGTTTGCCAGGCAGGAGACAAAGGTTAGGTAAAAGAAATACACGTGGAAAGGGTAAGGTCATATTAAAATGGAAATGGAGGGAAGGATCTGAGGCATACTTCTGAAGTGGGACAACTAGTATTTGGTGATTGACTGGATGTTAAGAGATGAGGAAGAAAGACACATTAAAGTTGACTTCAAGATTTCTAGCCTGGCAAAGGGGATGGTGATACCAATAGGAAATATAAAGGAAGAGATGGGTTTGGGGTGGAATTTGATTTTGGGTATTTTTGAGGTGTTTGCAGGGTATCCATATAAAAATGTCCAGTAGGCAATTTGATAGCCAAGCCTTGAGGTCAGGAGAAGTCAGGGCTAGAGATAGAGATTTGTGTGTCATCAGCATATAGGTGGTACTAAGGTTTAATTCCACCTTTCCCAGGCTAGATTTTGTGCGAAGTTAACAAATCTGCCACAAAAGTGTTTCATGGGTAAATGTAACTATAATGATAACAACAGCAGCAGTTAACAGCAATATATCAACGTAACAGCAATGTTAGACACTATTTTAAACATATTATATGTTTTAACTCCATTATCTTTGTAACCACTGTATACCAGTGGTTTCCAAATCTGGCCCCACACGAAAATCACTTGGGGCAATTTTATTTATTTTTTATTGTTCTTTAGCTGAAGGTTTACAGAGCAAATTCGTTTCTCATTAAACAATACACATATTGTTTTGTGACACTGGTTGCCAACACCACAACATGTCAACACTCTCCCTTTCTCGACCTTGGGTTCCCCATTACCAGCTTTCCTGTCCCTTCTTGCCTTCTTGTCCTTGCCCCTGGGCTGGTGTGCCCATTTAGTCTTGCTTTGTTTTATGGGCCTGTCTAATCTTTGACTGAAGGGTGAACCTCAAGAGTGACTTCAGTATTGAGTTAAAAGGGTGTCCAGGGGCCATACCCTCAAGGTTTCTCCAGCTCTGTCCAGGATCCTCTACTGTGATCCCTGTCAGAGCAGTCAGTGGTGGTAGCCGGGCACCATCTAGTTGTGCTGGACTCAGTCTGGTGGAAGCTGTGATGGTTGTGGTCCATTAGCCTTTTGGACTAATCTTTTCCCGTGTGTGTCTTGGTTTTCTTCATTCTCCCTTGTTCCAGAGGATTGGGACCAGTGGAGTATCTTAGATGGCCACTTATAAGCTTTTAAGACCATTTGGGGCAATTTTAAACAACAGATTCCTGGGCACCATTCACTGAATCTAAAACATCTGGAGTTAGGCACAGGGCTTTGAACCGGTTCTTCCTGGTTCAATCATGGCCAAGGAACTGACAACAAAACAGACTTGAATTTTTAAAATTTGGTTGAACCGGAACCATAACCAGAATGGGAAAAATTACGAGTTGGAGCCCTGCTAGAAACTTTATCTCCCTCTTAGAAAACAAGGGCAGCGTATTCGTTGCATAGCAACCAAATCTCTTGCCCATTGGATTTTGTGCAGAGTTGGAAACAGTGGTGCCCCACTCAAAGACGGCGGCCAACTGTGCTGCTCTGAATGTGTGTTGCTCTTCTCAGTCTTGGCAATAACCCAATCTCATGTATCAGGCTCCTGAAAGGGTTCACTATACCTCTTCCAAGCCTACCATTCCAGAGCTTCAACCCCTAATTTTTCTTGTTCCGGTTATGGTTCTGGTTCACCCAAATTTCTAAAATTCGAGTCTCTTCTGGTTTTGTTTCATCGGCCTTGGCTGAACCAGTTCGAACTGGTTCAAAGCCCTGGTTAGGCATAATGGCATTTGGGAACCATTGCTATGAAGTGCAGTATAATATATGTCCTCTCTTGGAAATTTGCAATGCATTTCCCTATTTAGTACTGGAGCTCCTTTTTTTCATGGCATTCCTTTCAACATCCTAACACTATTCTGAAAACTAGATTGGGAAACAATATTTAATTTTATTCAACACATTTTTATTGAACACTTAACTAGGTCCTAGGCACAGGGATATAACAATGAATGAATACATAGACCCCCGGCACCCAGTAGTTTAATAGACAAGTAGGGAACACAAGTAAACAGGGAATGCTGATACAATGTGATGACAAGGGTAATTACAATGTGCTAAGAACACAGGAAGGGTGTGAGTGTATACATGTGTGCGTGCACACATGCATGAAGGGAAGCTCCTGGAGGAAATTATACCTAAACTGGGTCCTAAAGGATGAATAGGAGGTAACTCGGAGAGGGAGAGGGACCTGGGTGGTCAGAGAACAGTGTTCCAGGCAGAGGAAACAGCATAAGCAGGCTCCAAGGGCATAGAGTTTGAAGAGAAAATAGCATGAGCTGAGGCTACAGAAGGTTAGCAGCAGCCTGATCATGAAAGATTTGGCAAGTCATGTAAAGGAGTTTGGCCTTGATCCTGAGAGCCCTGGGAGCCAGTGAAGAGTTTTAAACTAGAGAGATATGATTAGATTTGTGCTTCAGAAAGGTTTCTCAGGCTAGTGGGGGTGAAGGAAAGGATTATTTAATCCCTTTCTTCTTAGGAAGCAACCCCCTGGTCACAATCAAAATTATAGTCTCTAACAAAGAATTCATTGATGCTGAAATGTATCAGAGACAAGAATATAAATATAAAGCACCTGCCCTCAAGAAGTTTGGTCTAATAGGCAGGACAGAAAAGAAAACATTTTCAGAACAATGCTAGAATAGCACCAGGAGTAGAGAAGAGGAGGCTCCTAACTATGCTGTGGGCACTGGGGAAAACTTGAAAGCAGTGATCTGATCTGAGCCTTGAAGGATGAGTTCACAAGATGGATTTAGGGGACTAGGGGTGAAGTGGAGAATGGGACTAGGTATACAGACAAGGAAAAGGCATTCAGGGCAGAAGAAACAACTCACGTAAAGGGATAGCGTTATGAATGAAATGTGTATTCGTGCCCCCCCCCCCAAATCAAATAAGTAATGAGTCAAAAAGAACACTGGACCAGAAGTCAGGAAACCTGAATTCTATTCCCAACTATCTGAGTTATCTTGGGCAATGGCTCATTTGTACTTTAGTCTTCTCACTGAAGTAATGAAAATTATATACCATTGTGGTTCCTTTTGGTTCTCATAGTTTACAGTTCCATTTTATAGACCACAATGGAATGAAATCCCACACCTACCAAACACTGATATCATCAACTTTGCTTTTTCTACCTTACTTCAGCCTTGTATACAGCCATTTACTTGAGACGGTGATGTGCCGAGCATAGATTTTTTTCCAGACTAATAGTTTACGTCTGGCAATTACTTTACTCTAGCCTTAAGGGTGGCACAGTGGTTAAGTGCTCAGCTGTTAACCAAAAGGTCAGTGGTTTGAAACCACCACCAACTGCTCTGCAGGAAAAGATGTAGCCGTCTGCTTCCATAAAGACCTACAGACTTGGAAAGACTCTATGGCAGTGGGTTTGGTCTGGTTTTTGGTTTAGCCTTAAGGGTAACTGCTGAATTCTGTGTCCTTCCCTATGGTACCTTTCCCCTTCTACTTTCTATAGGGCCCTCTTCTAGGTCAGGAGGTTCCTGGCACAGGAGCAATAGGGCAATAGCTAGGTATGCTTTGATGTTATTGGCTAATATTTTTACTACATTATTTTAAATCACTTCTAGAATAAATTGATGTTATTCATTTTACTACCAGAGCAGCTCCATGTGGAAAAACAGGCCGATGAGAAATATATCTGTGATATTTGACTTTTAAATATTATATACGCTAATATACATATAAGGATTAAAACAAGTGCTTCAGTACACACACCAAATAAAGGGCTTACTCTCACACTATGTAATTTAAAAAAAGAAAAAGAAAAAAGATAATGATTTGGCACTATTTTTAGAAGACAGTTTACTAGAGCATTCTCTTTCATATGGCCATTGGGATAAAAAAAGTTAATACTGAACCTAGGATTTTTCAGTAACCAACAATAATCTGATACTTTTTCAATTTCTACCTGCTTCACTTCATTTAGGCCCACCCTCTATTTTGTATAACCAAAACCAAACCCGCTGCCTTTGAGTCGATTCCGACTCATAGTGACCCTATAAGACAGAGTAGAACTATCCCACAGGGTTTCCAAGGAGCAGCTGGTGGATTCGAATTGCTGGCCTTTTGGTTAGCAGCCAAGCTCTTAGCCACTATTGTGTATATCACTAAAATATTCTTAGTACCAATCTCCCTTATTAGCCTTTGAGAAGAGAAACAGACAGCAGCCCTAGCATTAGAAGTGTTGTTAGGTGCCTTCAAGTCAGTTCTGACTCATAGCTACTCCATGTACAACAGAACAAAACACTGGCTGGTCCTGTGCCATCAGCATTAGAAGTAGCCTGTATCAAATACCTGCCTCTTAATTTAGTAAGGCTTAGGAGAGGTCAGGAGCCCTGGTGGCACAGTGGTTAAAGTGCTTGGCTGTTAACCAAAAGGTCAGTGGTTCGAACCCACCAGCCACTCCGTGGGAGAAAGATGTGGCAGTCTGCTTCTGTAAAGATTTACAGCCTTAGAAACCCTATGGGGCAGTTCTTACTCTGCCCCATAGGGTTGCTATGAGTCGGAACAGACTTGAGAGCAATGGGTTTGGTTTATGGTTTGAAGGAGGGGTCAGCTGATAAATTCCACTTCTGATCCTGAGAGTTGCCATTTGCTTAGGCTCTCCTTCTCACATCATCCTAGCTTGCTATCTCAGTGATAATGATAGCCTCTATCCACTCCTGTTGGATAGGGACAAGTCACCGCCCTAATATACTCTGTCCCTTGTTTTCTTCCTACTGCAGCCCACTAAATCCTTTTGCTGCAGATAACACCTTCAGGTCTAAAAACTAACACCTTATTGTCAAACTTAATTAAGCTAGAAGTTGTGTTTAAGATGCAGGGGAAAATGCCCCAATAGCTTGTATTTCTATTTTGATACAAGTAGTTAAGATGGTACAGTAGAAAGATGAGCAAGTAAATGGTTTATTTTACCACCACCAAGATAAGTGGAGCTTTCATAGGGTTTAAATAAATGCATCTTTAAGGAAAGAGTAGTAAGCTTTCTGCTGAATCTTTCACATCAATTGATGTAATTTTAAAAATCATCAATTTTATACTATTTTATGACTTATGTAATTATCTGAATAATGTTTCAAAAGTATTTGAAATAACTGAAAGATCAAAAGGGCCGGTAATGCATAAAAAAACCTATGAACTATTATTAGGCTGATTAGCACTAGGAAAATGCTCATCTTTTTTGTGGGGGTCAAGAGCTTAGAGAATAACGATTATAGGTAAAACAAAACAAAACAAAACAAAACCCCACTGCAGCTGAGTCGATTCTGACTCATAGCAACCCTACAGGACAGAGAACTGCCCCATAGGGTTTCCAAGGCTGTAAATCTTTATAGAAGCAGACTGCCACATCTTTCTCCTGCAAAGGCTGATGGGTTGAAAATGGTGACCTTTTGGTTATCAGCTGAGGGATTTAACCACTGCACCACCAGGCCTCCCTTTTCACAAGCGATCATAGGTAACCCGTTGCCATCAAGTCGATTCCGACTCATAGCAACCCTATAAGACAGAGTAGAACTGCCCCTTAAGGTTTCCAAGGAGCGGCTGGTGGATTCCAACTGCTGACCTTTTCAGTTAGCAGCTGAGCTCTTAACCACTACACCACCAAGGCTCCGATTATAGGTAAAGTGTCTAAAAATATACTTGGTTTGAAACCCTTTTTTTTTAACCTTCAGTGTTGTTGGCAAGCTCTATAGTATCCACCATCGTCCCAGGAGGAACTCCTTTTTTTCCCCCCTAAAAGGAGTTTATATACTTCTCATTTACATTATTTAATATATTTCCTGTATATGATTTATACTATAATGGTGCAATTCATTCAAGCCCTATTTAGTAATATGATCCCTTTATGTTCACATCATATAAAAACTTGCAGAACATTCTAAAGCCAAACAGTTTCAACTATACAACTTATAGATTCCACACAAATGGTAACAGTTAGCCTTTGTTGTTCTGAGTCTAAAATATAGAGCATAAATTCACACTTTTAAAAATGAATGGATCCGTGGATTTTACTTGGAACAGTATTAGAACAAGATCAACTGTAAAAACATTTTAAGATTAAGACAGCTGGGGAAAATTTAAGACCAACTGGGTTTCAGATGATGTTAAGGAATGATTGTTAATTTTGTTAAGTGTGATAACAGATTATGGTCATGTAAAAAAAAAAAGTCCTTATCTGTTAGATATAGAAGTATCTATACGTAAATAATATCTGTGACATCTGGGATTCATTTTAAAATACTACAGCAAAAAAAGTGGAAGAAATAAAATAAGATTGGAAGAGTGTTGATAATTATTGAAGCTGGGTGATGGGTATATAAGGGTTCATTATACTCTTCTCTCCACTTTTGTGGATGTTTGAAATATTTTGTAACAAAAAGTATTTAAAAATGTTTCTCCTAAGGGAGAGATAAGAGGAGGGAAACAAATGGGCCATAAAGCCTTGTAAGATACTATCCCTAATGAGGTACCGTTATGTTTTTCTTGCTGTTTAAAAGCAGCCATGCATACCTTTCTGCAATGAAGTTTGACTTGATTCATCTTGTGCATTGTCTTTCTGAGCACTCACTAGGTCTGCAATCAGAGCCTCAAATGATTTATAGTTGCTCCCAGAGGTCTGAATTTTTTCCTCCATTATTTTCTTAATGTCCTTGAAACTGAATCCCATTCGTATAGCTTCTTGTATCATAGGATTTTGAAAGATGGTATCATCTGAAATGAAAATTGGCGAGGAAATGAATATAAAGTTCAATTATTTTCATCAGTACAATTCGATAGCAAAGTATAGCTAAAAAGAAAAATTCAAGCTGCAAGCAAAAAACAAAAACAAAAAACAGCAAACCAAACAAAGGTGCTTTAGGAAGAAACTTTTGAAATACACAGGCACTGAAGGATCATTTTCAAAATCTTATAATTAATTGTAAATGTAGTTGGTATGTATTTTGTAAGGAACTCTGGTGGCACAGTGGTTAAGCACTTGGCTGCTAACTGAAAGGTCTGCGATTTGAACTCACCAGCCACTCTGCGGAAGAAAGATGTGACAGTCTGCTTCCGCAAAGATTTACAGCCTTGGAAACCCTATGGGGCAGATCTACTCTGTCACTATGAGTTGGGAATGGACTTGAAGGCACACAACAACAACAATGTATTTTGTAGCACTTTGAATTATTTGAGATAAGGTGATTTGAATATTGTGATGGAGCAGAAGAAGACAGGTAAGAAAAGGGTTGTTAAGTGCTTCAAAAAATCTGAACTTTTTCAAACTAGCTGTACTGATTAACGAGTAACTTCAGTGAATGTTGTTACCAAGTCCCTAGCAATTATTTTGAAAAAATCATGGGAAAGAAAAGAAGTCCCAGTCTGTGATTTTGAATGTTGTGTTTCCTTCTCTCAGACTTGGTTTCTGTAACTGAGAAGGGGTGGAGTAGGTAGATAAAGCAACAAAGCACCTAGTTTTATGCAAATAACATGGGCCTCTACATTTGTTTGTCAACCTCCCCCCTTCCCAGGTAAAAAAAAAAAATAGCATAGCATGCTTACAGAAATACCTGGGGTGGGGGTGGGGGGAGTGGGGCATGGTTGGCAAACACACACAGAAGGTGCACGTTATGCGTAAAAATACAGTATGTGGAAACTCACTTTACGCAACTCAAAGTAGGAACACAAGATGTATAAGGAAGTGCTAAGAGAGGAGGATGGTACCCCCTGACTCATCAATTCCACTCGTGGGTATGAAAAATGAATGTACCTTTCCACCAAAGACATGCAGAAGAATATTTGTATAAGATGTTATTTATAATAGGCCCAAACTGGAAACAACTTGAATGTCCATCCTCAGGTGAATGGATGGATAAATACACTGTGGTATATTCAAACACTACACAGCGATAAAAATGAATGAACTACTGCCACACACAACATGGATGAATCTCATAGATATATATAATCACTGCATGATTCCATTTATAAGAAGTTCAAAACTAATCTATGACAATAGGCAAAACTAATTTATGATAACAGAAGTCAGAATATAATTTGGAAGGAAGAAGCCTGAAGGAGCTTTCTGGCGTGATGGAAATGTTCTATATCTTGATCTGGGTGACAGTTATACAGGGGTGTGAGTGTCTGTATATATATGTATATATAAATACAGACACACACACAGATATATGCTAAAATTCATCAAGTTGTATACTGAAAATCAGTGTACTTTAAGCACTTTCCTATGAGTATGCAACAATTTAGTAAACATTTTTTAAAAGAGAGGAGGCTAGAAAGGGAGACATAAAGGGCTTTCATTATAAGGAACATAATATAGTAGATAACAAAAGATATATTAAATGAGAAAAGTAATTTAAGATTTGTGCTTGATAAAGAAAAGCTGTTGGGAAGCTAGCATGCAGACAAAAGTCCAGTTAGGAGACTATTGCAATAGTCCAGATGAGAAATAAGGGCCTGAACTAGGGCAAAATCAGTGCGGAAGGGACAGTATTAAAGAGGCAGAATCAAACCTGGTGATTAAATGAAGAGAGATTAAGGAGAGCAAAGATCTTAGAAAGCCTCAGATTATTGGGGAACTTTGTTAATTGTGGTACAATTAACCAATAGAGGGAAAAAACAATGGGACTGGACTCAGTCTAAGGAGCCCTGGTTGCACAGTGGTTAAGCACTCGGCTGATAACCGAAAGGTTGGCGGTTTGAACCTACCAGCGGCTCTGCGGGAGAACGATATAGCAGTCTGCTTCCATAAAGATTACAGCCTGGGAAACCCTATGGGGCAGTTCTACTCTGTCCTACAGGGTCACTATTGAGTCGGAATCAACTCAATGGCAATGGGTTTGAGTTTGGACTTGGTCTGGGGCTTTTTTAATTAATTAATTAATTTATTGTACTTCAGGTGAAGGCTTACAGAACAAATAGTTTCTCATGAAACAGTAGTACACATATTGTTTTATGACATTGGTTAACAACCCCACAACATGTCAACCCTCTAATTCTCAACCTTTTTTTTTTTGGTGAAAATACACATAGCCAAAGATACACCATTTCAAAAATTTCTATATGCACAGTTCAGTGACACTGACTACGCTCTTCCAATTGTGCTGTCATTCTCACTTAAGATGAAGGCTTACAGAACAAAATAGTTTCTCATTTAACAGATACTACAAATGTTGCCCTATGACAATGGTTAACAATCTCACAACACATCAACAATATCCTTACTCAACCTTGGGTTCCCTATCACCAGCTTCCTTGTCCCCTTCTGCCTTCTGGCCCTTGTCACTGGACTCCTGTACCTCGTTAGTCTCATTTGGTTTTACGGCACTGTCCACTCCCAGGCTGAACGGTGAACTTCAGAGATAACTTCACCATTGAGCTAAAAGGGTGTCTGGGGGCCATACTCTGGAGGTTTCTCCAGTCTCCTTTAGGCCAGTAAATCTGGTCTTTTTTTTTTGTGAGTTAGAATTATGCTCTACATCCTTCTCCAGCTCTGTCCAGAACCCTCTGTTGTGATCCTGGTCAGAGCAGTCAGTGGTGGTAGCCGGGCACCATCTAGCTGTACTGGACTCAGTCCGGTGGAGGCCTTGGACTAATCTTTTCCTTGTATCCTGTTCTCTTCATTGGGAGTCAAACTTTTTTTTTCCATTTGTGTACTTTGTTTTTTTTTTCATGTTATTAAAAACATAAGAGTGATGTTAGTTCTACTTCCCAGTAGACTATTTGAAATTTAATTATGAAAATTGTATACTTTAAGTTAGTATTAGTTTAGATATATTCATACTACCTCTTCCAGGGCTTTTTTTAAAAAAATAAAAAAAAATATTTTATTGGGTTTTTGGTGAAGATTTACATAGCAGTTTAGGTTCCAATTCAACAATTTCTACACAAGTTGTTAAGTGGAGGAGGGCAATGGGGAGTGACTGCTAATGGGTATGAGGTTTCTTTTTGGGGTGATGATAACGTTCTGAAATTAAATAGCAGTGATAGCTGTACAAACATGTGAATATACTAAAATCCACTGAATTGTACACTTTAACAGGGTGAAATTTGTGCTATGTATGTGACTTATATCTCCACTTAAAAACAATCTTAAGCCAGAGCAAGAGTCTCAGTTATAAAAGAACAGTATGCATTGTAAGGATGATTAAATACCAAAAAATGTTATCAAGAAATATTACAGAATCTTTGTTTTGTACTACCTTTTAAAATATAAGCTGATCTAAATGATTTCGTAAACTGTACTGTTTATTCCCATTACAAAACCCATATCAGATAATTATCAAAGCAGCTCTGCTCAAGCATATTTATGAATACATACAGTACTCTCTTGCCTTGTAATCTTTAAAATACTAAATAAATGATACTATCAGGAGTGGGAAATCACCATATTCTTTTTTTAATTTTATTTTTGGTGAAACTATACATATTAAAATATACACCCATTCAACAATTTCTATATGTACAGTTCAATGACATTGGTTACATTCTTCCCCATTGTGTCACCATTCTCTGTCTCTACCCACATCATTTTACCACCATTAACTTAAGACTCTCTGCCCCTAAACGTCTCCCTGTGTTTTAGAGTCGCTGTTGTCAATTTGATTCATATAGATAACTCTCTGAAAGAGCACACATTCTTTACTACTTGAATTAAACTGTTGTTTAATTTAAAGATGACTTTCTGGGATAGTCACAAGTTCAAGGCTTAAAGATTATCTCAGGGCAAGAGATCTGGGAGTTCCCCCATCAAAACAGGTCCATCATCAGACATATTCTAAATTAAACTTTCTACTATTTTTGAAACATGATGCCTAAGTTAAGAATGAGATCTGCAGTATGATGTATGAGTTTGAAGACCTTGTTTAGAGTCCTAGCTCCACTAATTATTTGTAATGTGACTGTGGGCAAGTCACTTAACCTCTCTGACTGTTTCTTCATCTGAAGAGTGGGGATAACAATATCTTCTTAGCTTAACATAATATCTTTCTCTGCCCACTTTTAAAAAGCTACCTATAATGAGTATACAATCTCTGTGATAAAACCTCTACCTCTCCATGAGGTATCAGGAAGTGAACAAATCAAACCTTACCCACCCCCTGTGAAGATGCTGGAGAAGGCAAAAGATGATATGGGATAAAGAAGCAGGTTGTTTAAGGCTGGTCCTAGTGATGGCACATTAGTATAGCCTTGGATTCATGATCCTGGCTTACTTAAGGAGCTCAAGGGACAAAAATACACTTAACCCTTTCTTCTGTGATTTTAACAGAAATGGTGATGGGGCAGCCTACAGGTGCTGCTTCTGAACCTGGGAAAAGTAAACGTGCAATGGGTTCTTAATACAGAAATATCTGACTTAAATTTCTAGTTATCCCGTATAAATATATTACTGTGACCTCGAAAGAATGTCTATTTTTCCACTCCATAAACGACAACTATAATAAACTGGTAGTGAAATTAAAAGTATACTTATTTTAATAAGGTTATTTACCAATTCTTTTAGTTAGTGATGGTGTTTTTTCAGCAGTTCTTGCCTAAAATAGAAATATGAATTGTGAGTTAGAATTCTTTTTTGTAGAAGGCAGTTATTTCAATTTGAAAAATTACATTAATTGCAAATATATAAATAGGCTTTATTCCAAGTCACCAAATATTCACAAGAGGCATAGCCTGATGGAGCTAGAAGGACATTAAAAGATCATCTAATCCAATCCCCCTCACTTTACAGACAAGAAGCTGAGGCGCAGGGAGATTAAATGACTTGATCAAGCTGATACAGTTAAATGGCAGAGCCATGACAACTCTGGTATCCCATTTCTAGTCCAGGGCTCTGTCTACACAGTACTGACGCCTTGGCCGCTCGAGTTCATACTATCAATTTAGATACATTTTTGAGATTTTAAAAAACAGTGTCTGCAAAAAGTTTAAAACTATTTATGAGTATATAAAACACATTATGTAGAAGACTAATTTCAAAAGGCTAAGGGACTAAGTAAGGAGCCCCGGTGGTGCAATGGTTAAGCACTCAGCTGCTAAACAAAAGGTCTGCAGTTCGAACTCACTTACAGATCTGCAGAAGAAAATATCTGGTGATCTGCTGTAGTGAAGATGACAGCCTAGGAAACCCTATGGGGTAGTTCTATTCTTTCCTATAGGGTTGCTAAGAGTTGGAATCGACTCCTCGGCACACAACAAGAAGGGACTAAGTATTTTAGTTCTTCAAGCCTATATCTTTTTCACTTTTAAATTGATTAGCTTCACATCATATTAACTAAAAACCTCTCTTCTGAAACATCACATTTCTAGTGCCTTTTTTGTAAGATAATCTTTTCAAGTCCCTATTAAGTGTTTTGCAAAGGACATATAAAATACTGTTCTTTACAGTATAAAGAACTATTTTAAATACAACATGAACCATATTAACAATTGTAATAGTAATAAATAATAATACTTTTTAACAAATTACCCAGTTAGGCTTTGCCTTTCTTGTTATACACCCGATTTTTGCCTACCCAAAACCAAACCCATTGCTGTCGAGTTGATTCCGACTCATAGCAACCCTATAGGACAGAGTAGAACTGCCCCACAGAGCTTCCAAGGAGCAGCTGGTGGATTCAAACTGTTGACCTTTTGGTTAGCAGCCATACTTCTTAACCACTGCGCTACCAGGGCTCCTTTTTGCCTACAGTGATACTTAAATCAGTTCATCCTAATCCCCTTTTCATAAATACACTTCAGGTTAAAAATAACAAGCACTCTTCAAGTTTTTCCTTTTAAAGCTCACTGCCCATTAATTTAAAATACTAGATTGTGAATTTTACACGAAGAAATAATTATAAAATAAATTATATAATATTTGAAAAATATATATTCTACAGTACGTGACTTACCAAAGATTCCTCAAGTGAATGGGTTAAATGAATATTGTTTATATAGTCATGTCCCTTCTCTTCCAACAGATATTTACACCTAAACAATTAAAAGGAGGTTAAACTTTAGGAGCTGATAAGTTAGTAAAATATAAGTAAAGATACAATCTCCATCATCTTCATTCCATTAACTTGTTTTTGGTATTTTTAAGGAACCACAAAATAAAATGTTACCTAACTCCTATCCAACTGTCATTTTAAGGTTAAAAAGATATCTTCCCTTTGTTACTCTATGCTAATGTTAGTAGAACAATAAATATCAACTTGAGATCTTTCAACTTTTGAGCAAGAGTTATTAAATTAGCACCTTAACATTATAAAAAAGTCTTAAATAGCTAATCTTCTTAGCAGATTTTATTTAGAGGATTAACCAACTGTATATTTACAAGGAATTCTTTAGGCTTTTCAATCTTTCGTTTTAAGGCTAAGATTTATTTTCAAATGATCACTCTGAAGTTTTAACCTGTACTTTATTTTAAAGAAACAAGATGGCAAAAAGACCCTTAGGTAGGGTATGTCCTCATTCTACCACGTCACTGATTTTAAGAAGCATGATTATTTTATGTATCACTTAAAATTGCTGCCCATTAAATTATGACCCATCATCAAGTTTAAGATGTGTCCTGATTTCAGAGATTTTAAAATGTGAACAGTTGTATGTCTTAGAATCAATGATACAGTAATTTATTTCCTATGGTGTGTAATGGGTTCTTAAGGAATCTCCTTGGCAACGTGGGTTCCTCTGTGCCCATCACAAAAGAGCCTACTTCCAACAACAAAAGAATATACATTTCTTAATTTGGTATTTAGAAATGGAATAATTTGAATGGCATAGTTATGATACACAAGTAATGAATGTTTTGGTCACCAGAGAAGGCTTAAGTATTTTTTTTCCTATAAAGTAGGTGACCCCATTTTTATAAACCTGGTGCGAATTTCAAGCTTAGTGAAGGCAAAAATAGCTGAGGTGAAAAGTAATTCAAATCTTCCCACTGCATACTGTCCAACTTGCCTGTTATTGAAGAAACATTTAAATACCTTACCCTGGGTACCACTTAGCATGTTGTTCCCAAGGATCTTCACTGGGCTTCCAATCAGTTAGCCCTCCTCCACAGTGAAAGCACTTCACTTTATCATCCTCACCTAAGAAAACAAGTAAAAATGTACGTATTTGTGCAATTCAAAGCTGACACAAAAATATCCATCTTAACACCTAAAAATGTAGAATATCTAAATTATGTGACAATCTCATAGCTTAAGAGATGACATTTAAATTCTCATATAAGTAATAGATACAACCTTTATCATTTGAGGAGAAAAGATAACTAAATTCACTGATTTATTCTGAGGTATTTTAAAGAAGACAAATACAATCAAATTGCCCAATTTTTATGTTAAAAATTATCAGTTACATGTTTTTAACATTGGTCATTTGGGCAATTAATACTGTACTTGTTTTTCTGAACTACGAAACTTCAAAACAAGTATGTTTCAAGTATTACTAACAATAAGGTTCAACATAATGAAACTACAAGGCAAGCTCCTCTAAGGTTATAGCTACATGACACTAAACAAAGCTTCAAGATTGCTATATGATGCTATACAAATAAAATATTGAAATAACTGCTATTTTGTGTTTTGGCACCGTTTGAGCCTAAAAATAAATGGGTCAGATATATCATGGTATAATTTTTTTAATACCCCTGGAAACCATCAGGCCCTTCCTGATGTGTTTACAATGGTCTATTTGAAAAGCACTCATTTGAGGCAATAAGACATAATACAGAGCTGCTTTCAAATATATAGTCCTATGTACTAAAGGTACGTATCGATTTTAATATCAGCCAAACTAAACTCTCTAACGTTAACTATTCTTATAAGGAAAACGTATGTAATATATGTACTCAGCACATATAGTAGGTGCTCAATAAATGAAAGCTAGTATTACTATTAGACCCATTCTTCTATCAGGCATGTCTACCCTCTTTTGCATGTCACCCCTCTCCTAAAAACAATTACATGAAGATAAATGTGACTCATAATATGGTAGTCCTATTCATATAAATTCAGTCGTTACATCAAGATCAACATAAGGATTCACATAATAAAACTGATAAAAATGATCATGCCAGATGATAGTTAAATATTTACCAGCTCAGGGGACTAAAGGCATCTATTTACTTTTTTAGGAGCCCTGGATAGTTGAAAAGTTATTTATTAGCCAGGTCTTATAATATAGTTTACCTAAAGCATAAAATCCAGCTCTTGCAAGCCGCTCCTTGTTAACGGAGTATATCCACGTCCCAAAAGTCATGATCCGTGCTTCATAATCTGCCATAGCTGGATTTCTTGGAGAATTTGTTGAATTTGGGAAATTCCTATCAGAACTCAAGACATCAGATTCACTCCGAGTATTAACATTCCGGCCCAAAACAAAGAAGCAATTAGGAAAGTGTCGCCTGTGTTCTGACCATGCATGATCACAAGGTTCCCAATTTTTCAGTTTTCCACCACAACAAAAGCACTGCACTTGATCATCAATACCTGTGTAGTAGAGTCCAGCACTAGCTAACTCTCTTGGGGTTAAGTGGGCATACTCTGGCCAGTTGTGAAATGACTTTAGTCTAGCTTCTTCACTACACATTTCAGGGTTCCTTGGGTATATGGTGTCCGATATATCTACAACTTGTCCAGTTCTCAAAAGGTAGTCTGCATGAGTCTCAGATGGCCTCTCTAAAACAAAATGATTTCTGTTTCCTGGATATTTTTCCACTTTGTACTGACCATTTTGGGCACCAGGATTTGTAGGTTGAGCAGCATTATTTTCAAAATAAAAGCCATTGATAAACCTGCAATTCGGGGATACTTTCCTGTGTCTTCCAACTGCTGAGTCTCCATATTGCCATCTGTCTACTGCTGCATGACAACTAAAGCATCGCACAGTGTCTCCTTCACCAGTGTACAGAAAACCAGCTCGTGCCAGCGTTGAAGCTGAAACAGGACTGCTACTTGGAAAATTAGCAAAAGTTTTTAATCTATTGAACTCTTCTACAAATTCTTCATCTTTATTGATGTCTGCAGGTGCAAAAGTTTTAGATCTTTCAAAACTGTTAAAAGTCATCTTCTCTTGGAATTAGGACTTGTTCACTTTTCTAAAAAGAGAACATTACATTAGGAAATACAAAATGCAAAACATAATCAGTATGCTCAATATTAAGAGCTAGCAAATTATTCATTGATGACAAAAATAATTATACAATCTCTAAGAAACATTCTAAAGACTAAAGTTCTACATTACTATACGATTCAAGTTATAAAGTAGAAATTAGCATTTTTGTTTTCTTTTTAAGGAAAGTAATGTTTAAGCAGGTAGAAAAGGACTTAATTTTTAAGGGCTTATTTTACATAAATATGGAAACTACATGATACAGAATACATTATAATTATTAACCATGGAAAATTATTAATATGAAAAACATGAGCATAAAATATGCAGATTCTTAAGAGTCTATGTATAATTTTTATAATGGATCATTGTATATTCAAAGCATCAAAGCTTAATATTTAGAATTAAAAAACCCGAATGTTTAGAATGCTAATGAATTAATTTTTAACATTTCTTTACTTTTCTGCCGAGCAAAAGATGTTTTAGTCACAATATTGGTTCCAATGTGTTTTGTTAAGACCATCAAATGTTTGATGTCATGAATAAACAAGAGTTCATTTTTTTGTGTTGTTGGAAACTGGATCATTTAAGATGTATATAATAATACTACCCTCTAGAGGGTGGCTCAAGAAAAATCCTAAGTATGTGCAGACCTTAACTGCAGTTACTTTTTCTATCAATTTCCCATGGTCAAGGAACAAGCTGTCCAAATGGAAGAGTAGTACTGTTAAACAACCTTGTCAAAGATGCCAAATTGTAGCTATGTAATATCTAACCTAGATAAAATACTAAAAGGAATGGGTTGGGTTATGAGAAGTTACCAGATAACTTATCCTCCAAATCTGGACACTTCTGAAAGTGAAAAATGACAGGCATAAATGAGGGCTTCTCCAGGCTTAACTATGACAACAAACCTGGTTCTAAAGAATTTTGCACAGTGCCTGACACTGGGCTCAGTACTATGCTTGTCAAATGCAAAATAAAAGAATGGTCACAATGACTCTGTCTCTACTTCATATGTACAATAATCGATTTCTTGGGAAGAATTAGCCAGCTCTTCTGACATTATGTTGGCACAGTATGTCTCTGAACATCATCTCTCTTGGAGTAATGTTCAACATGAGGCTTCTCTCCTGCAGGCTGGCACTGAATTTCATTCTTTGCTGGCCGTATCAATTACAGTGGTATTAATTCATGTATACCTCAAGAACTGAGTTATATCTGCACACATCAAGTTTTGGAAGACCATCTCCCTGACTTTTAATTAATTATACACTTTCTCAAATGTCTAAAAACATACTGACACTAGCTTCAAGACCCTTTGTTGAATCAGAATGACAAAATCAAGATTCTAAAAACCAAGGCTTGATGATAGGCTAAAACTTGTAAGATAAAATTTAACAGGGGTAAATGTAAAATCTTACAGTCTGGTTAAAAAAAATCTTTTGCACAATTAAAGGGAGATGGAGACTTGGTTTGGAAAGAAGTCATGTGAAGGCAAACCTCCAGAATAAAACCTTAGGGTTTTAGTTAAATACAAATTCATTATGAACCAACACTACGTGGCCGCTAAAAAACTTACAGTAATTTCAGGCTGCGTTAATGTCCAGATGTGCAATATCCAGATCCAATTCAACTACATGTTAAATACTATTTTCCATTCCACGCACATTTTAGAAAGGACATTAACAAGGTGTAATGTCCCTAGAGAACAATCAGGGTGATGAAAATTATGTCATATGAAAATTACATCATATAAAGAATAGCTGGAAGAACTGAAGATGCTTGTCCCAAAGGGAAAAAAAATTATGGGGATTATGGGGTAGCATACAGGATAGACTATCCTCTTTAGATATTTAAAAGGCTATCATGTAGAAAAAGGATTAGATTTCTATGTAGCTTAAGGGCAGAACCGAAGTCAATGAATATAATTCTAGTCAGTAACTTTTAATCTATACAAGGATGAACTTTACAACAATCAACAGTAGTACAGAACAGATTGGGTTACCTTGTAGGTTGTAAGTTCATCCCATCACTGGAAGGGACTTCTGCATGGACTAGGTGAGAATGGATTAAACAATATTTCCAAGCCTATAATGGTCAATATAATCCAAAACATATGAAAATGACCTTTCCTGAGATGATAATTTTAATTTCTCAGGTCAATCAAAATAGAAGTGTACAACCAAAAATCTATTCTCATTTCACAACAGTGGATATTCTGTGTGGTGCAAGTAGTCACCTTATTTCAGATAATATTAGATAAAATTCCATCATTCAACCCTAGCAGGAGAATCTCTATTTGAAGCTTTCAAGTGGAGATCTCATCTTCTCAGGCAGGGGCAGACTACCCAATAAGCAAGGTACGCACAGGCCTACTTGTGCTTACTTACTAATCTGTAGTGCACAATTTCACCTGTTTTTCACCACATCAAAGATATAAAGGTATAGAAGTTGCAGGGAAGAGTCTTGATCAAGTAACAGACCTGATCACTGATTGCAAATAGCCACAACCTCATTATAACAGTGAGATCAGCAAACCAGGAGAATAATCTTATTAGAAACAATCAGACTTCTGGCAGATTCCACCAACCTACTCATAATAGCCTTTTTGGCTATCCGTAGCAGACTGAAACAAACTCTGAGCCAAAGGATGAAGACAGTGATAAAAGTGATATTATCATTATAAATAATGTAGTGCCACAAAAGAGTCCTAAAGCTGTTCCAACTACCAAGAGCCTGGAATTATTAACACAAATACAACAAACTTAGTTTTGAATTTGGACAGAGGGGTTTTATTCCTTCTGAGTTTAGTACTCCTAGCAAATGAAGCATGGAGTCCCTGGGTAGTGTAAAGTGTAATTCCCCAACTACTAGACGAAAGGTTAGCAGTTTAAACCCACTGCAGTGCAGTGAATTACTTAATACGGCCCTTCTAACCATAGTCTTTGTGACTCCCACACAATACTAGGTGGGACTATGCAAATAAGGTCCTTGTGGCCCACCAAGACGACTGGACAGCTTGCTGCTAATGCAAATACGGTGGACGGAACCTGTGATGGTTAAGATTTTGTGTCAACTTGGCTGGGCCAGGATTTTCAGTGATTTGACAGTTATGTAATGATATAATTCGGCAGTTATGCAATGATGTACTCATCCTCCATTTTGTGGTCTGATGAAATTATCCTCCATTTTGTGATGTGTTATAAATCTTAGCCTCTATGCCTGTGGTTATGGTTCCATTTGGGATTTGTCCATTATGTTAATGAGGCAAGATTAGGGTGTGATGTATCCTGAGTCACCACCTTACTAGGGGGTGTGACTCAAGCCACCACCGTTACCCCAGTCACCAACCTTACCACCCTTATTTCAGTCACACCCTTGCACTGCCTTGCTCAAGTAATGGGAGTTTCCTTGAGGATATGGTCTGCATCCAATATACATGAATGCTCTGGCAAAGTTCTCTCTTGCTCTGGATCCTGCATCCAGCCTGTCATCATCTCACCTCCAGTTCTTGGAAATTGAGCCCGCAGCCTATCGACTGACCTGATTCACCAGCTTACACAGCCTTGTGAGCCAGCAGCCTATCATCTGACCTGCCGATTTGGGTTCCTCAGCCCCTGTAACCATGTGAGTCAGGAGAAACCTTCAGCCTGACCTATGAATTTGGGACCTGCCAGCTTCCACAACCATGTGAGCTATTTCCTTGATGGTTCATGAGTTCTGTGAGATGTTGAAGCGAATTACAGAACTCAAAGATGGGAGGGAGAGTACTGAAGGGAGGAGGAGTAGTTGATGTTAAGAGATGACGCAGTGGTACAACAGTTTAGAAAAGTTCAACATTTGGGACATCTTTAACCTCCACCTAGTAAGAACTAGCTTTGTGCTGATTCTTATAAAGGAATTGTTCATTCATACACCCAGAGGTGCCTCGAAAGGCAGGCCTGGCTATCTGCTTCTGAAAAGTCACAGCCTCAAAAACCCTATGGAGCAGTTCTACTCTGCACACATGGGGGGGGGGTCACCATGAGTTGGAATCAATTCAACGGCAACTAACAACAACAAGCAGCAAGTGGAGAACGCAGAATTTCAAACACATGCTCCAGATCAGAAACTCTTAGTAGAAGATGGAACAATCATAACATTATGAAACCATCATTTGAATGCCTTCTGAGTGAGGATGCCACAGGATTTGTAAATTTGGCTAGTTTAAGAGATTTTAAATCTCTAAACAAAGGATCCCTGGTGGTGCAGTGGTTAAAAGCTCAGCAGCTAACTGAAAGGTCAGCATTTCAAACCTACCCAGAGGCTCCTCAGGAGAAAGACCTGGCAATCTGTTCACGTAAAGATTATAGTGTTAGACACCGTATGTGGCAGTTCCATTCTGTCCTATAGGGTTGCTATGAGTTGGAATCTCAACAGCAATGGGTTTTGTTTTGGTTTTAAACCTCTGAACCGATGACCAGTAACAGGCATGAGAACAGTAACATTGCAAGTTTAAAATATTATTAATAGAGACAGAAAGCAGCTTGGTGGTTGCCTAGGGTCAGGGGAGCAGGGGAATGAGAAGTGATGGCAAATGGATACTGGGTTCCTTTTTGGGATAATAAAAATGTTCTAATATTAGATTGTGGTGATGGTTGCACAGGTCTGGGAATATACTAAAAACCACTGAATTGCACACTTTAAATGAAATTTATGATATGTGAATTCTATCTCAATAAAGCTGCTAAAATGTTATTAAAATACTGTGGTAATAGTACTCAATAACTTTGGCAAATAAGAGGTAATTTTAAGTCTAAAACAAATTGGCATTTGCTAACGAAATCATGTGCTTTTGATATGGACAACTGGATGTTACAGAACATTGTCAGAGCTATGTGAAAGGACTACCATACTTTTAGGCAAATAATGAGCGTTATACATTTTGCCAACTGCGCAACTCTCTCGCGCGTTATTTTCCTAGGCGTGCTATGGGTATTCTATCTGTGGATGCGTTATTTAGGTAGGCATGTTATTTGCAGAAAAATACAGTATACTTATGATTGTATATTTAATCTACTGTGCAAAACCCAGATAATTTTTCCTTTAACTACATTCTTTAAATTTTAATGTGAAGTATGACTCTATCTCTTTTGGTACTTTGAGGACCACGGTTCTTATGCGCCAAGTACTTTATTTTTATTTCTTAGTAGGGATTTTCTCTTGCTAATTTTAACAAATCATTTTCTGAAATGCATTTTTTCCTAATTTCTAAGAAATTAAACCAATTGGCGGTTGTTAGGAGTTGCTTCCCATGTTATGAAGCATTGAAGCTATGGTCCTGAATCATGAAATTCTGTGATGGTTGTTTATGCTGGTGTTTGTTCATCCTGTATGTTTTAAAAGGCAGTTAATTTCATTGATTCTGGTAATGAAAATAGAGAAATACTCTCCTTTAAGCAATTCTTGTCCTCATTCCCAACCTCACTAGAAAGCATTCTTTTTGGGGTGTGTGTGCGTGTGTGCGCGTGTGTGGGTGTGGGTGTTTTGTACTTTTAACGTATTCAAGAAGTATATGTTATTTTTGATACAAAACGTACCTAAAAGTTCTTTTACATACAGGACAAACTTGTGCACAAAACTTTTTATACAAAGATTCTGGATTTTCCTATGCAAAACCAATGGCCAACATCATTCTTAATGGAAAGAGGCTGAAAACATTCCCGTTGAGAACAGGAACAAGACAAGGATGCCCTTTATTACCACTCCTATTTAACATTGTGCTGGAAGTTCTAGCTAGAGCAATAAGGCAAGAAAAAGAAATAAAGGGCATCCAAA